CAGGAAGAGGGGCCTTTGCGGGACAGCTCATCCATACGACGGGCCAAGGGGCGGTCCGCAGCTTCTCGGAGAGCAGCGAAAGAGGCAGCACTAGCTTTCTTGGAGGACTTGGCAGCAGATGCTCTCTCACGGCGGGCTAGCTGATCCACAAAGTCGCAGGAATGATGCTGCCACTCTCGATCGTGCTGGTGGATGATCTCGTCAACCTGGCTGCTCGTGATGACTTGGGAAGCCTGCAGTTGGGAGGTAGCAATTTCTTTGAAGTATGGCAAACCGATTCCACCGAGCCGGCAAGGTAGCCGTAGAAGAGAGAGGTCATCCGCCGTGAATGTGCGTTTCCCTGTCAGAGCCGGAAGGAAGTGCTCCGTGACCGTGTCATCCAGGCGCTGCAGCTGTTCAGCTGAGAACTCCAGTGTACGAAGGAGATATGTCCATCGACCACGCAATCCGTGTGTGAGGGCGGCATACGCCGCATGAGGTTCGGTAGTGGCAATCTCGGACAGTCGCATAAGCTCCTGCTGCCAGTCTTGTACTTTCCCAGCTGTATAGCCAGCGATGAAATCCGGTGTCCCTATAGCGGCACCCAGGTAGCGTGCTCCATCCGTGACCACTTCAATGCCAGTTCCTGCAAAGACACTGTGGGCCAGGTTGAGCAGGTCAGGCTTGACGAGGAGGAGAGTCTTCGAGGCGTTGACATGGTAACCGTAAGGTTTCCCGGTCTCGTCCACATCATCCCACCAGCGTCGAAGGGCCCGTAGCTTGCCTGCACCACTTGAATCATCGGCATACCACAATTGACGGATGTCGGCGTGGGTTGTGCGGAGGTGCCGTACGAATGGTAATGTAGCGAGGGCATAGAAAACCATCGACAGAGGGTCACCTTGTGTGGTACCCTCTGCGGAGGAAAGCTCACCACCGCCAGAAACGAAGAGGCGGGCATCATCTTGGTAGCAGTTCAGCAGTGTGGTAGCCAGGGAAGGACACAAGTGGCGAACATTGTGAAGAGCTGCTTGGCGGTTCAGGCAATTGAAGGCATTCTTCGCGTCAACTAGTAGGACTCCTTCAGTTGTGGCGTCCTCATACAAGTGCTTCATGGCGTGGACCGCTGCTTCTATCCCAGCTGGCAATCCAGAACACTTCTGGAGAAAACCACAGGCCTCCATTACATCGTCTGACGTTACTCGGAGAATGGATTTGGCTAGAATGCGACGGAGGACCTCAGACACCCCAATGGGCCTGACACCTGGGTTCTTGTCCAGGGCAATTAGACGACAGGCGGTGAAGGGGGTAAGAGAGTCTGGTGGCAAGGTTTGTGTTGCTAGCAAGCGGCCGAAGGACGCCATCGCCGAGCAAAGGTTGTTGGAGGCCCCTTTGTACGCCGAGCACATACGTCGCCATGCTGACGAGTCGAGACCAGAGGGACCTGCCGAGCCTTTCGCCTGCATGGCCACGGTTTTGACGAGGTCGGCAGTCAGGGAATCAAATCGGATTGGGTGGCACTGAGGCGCTGCTCCCGCTATCAGGATGTGCTCTGCTGCTGGAGTGCCACAAGGATGCTTACTCTCCAGGGCTGCCCGCACGGTTGTGGTGGAGTCCTTGATGGTGATCGAGTCATCGATACCTAACACACCGGATGACTGCGTGGACTCAGCTTCAGATAGGGAACGCAGGGCATCGTGCACACGTCCTTCTGCCATGAGGGAACCAAAATGCCTTGCCTTGTCCTGCTCACCTCGTCGACGTGCTCCTCGGTGTGGCTCACGATGCCGTTGCAGGCAGCGTCCTTCCTCAACCAGAGCAGTGATATTACCATCTGCCCAGAGGGCCATCCGGCGCTGGAGGTGACTCGTGTTATCCTTTGGCTTGGATCGACGATACGTTTGTTGTAGTAACAGAGCTGGGAGCACGGCTAGGTTGTACAGCGCTGTTCTGTGGGTACCAGCAGACTGAACAAAGTCCTGGATCTGTTCACACATCAATGTTACAAATCGCTTCCCGGCCGAGCCTGTTGGGAGCTTGAAGAACCGCTTCTTCCAATGTACGACCTCAGAGTATACGTCCGAGACCGAGTGAGGAGTGGTGTTCGCCTCACTCAAGTGGGCAGAGTGCACAGATTGACTTGTGGGTTCCATAGGCTGTGATTCGCTCCTGGTTTCTTGTGACTGAGAGGGGGAGCCCACTGCTAGCGCTGGGAGATGTACGGCTTGTTCGTTGCCGTTGCGGGTGTTGGTGTTCAAGGTGCTTTCAGCAGGCCGGCTGTCAGAGTCCCGAGTAGTTGCTATTGTTGTTGAAGTTCTCTCTCGTGGCTCAGTTTGTCCCATGTCAACGCCATGACGGCACTCCGTGATCAGTGCGTTGATGCTCTGGGCAGTTGCGGAAGCGGCTGTCGAAAGCTCTTCGCACTCACTCACGGTTTGGCTTGAGTCCGCACGTAACGGGTTTGTGTCGTCGACCTGTTCTACCACTGGCAACGGAGACGTACGCACCTCACGCGTACACCCTACCGTAGGCCTGCGATTTGAACATTTCTGCTTCTTTCCCGGAGTGCAGTTCGAGCACGGACGTTCTGCTTGGCGGCAGGAACAGTTGGTTCTACACACGCCATTACCCGCACAAACACAGCATCGACGTCCAGCTGGGGCTTGGCTGGTGGCCGCATCAGTATCACTACCCATAGCCTGCTACTAGTTGTCACATGCTAAATCTACACGGTCACGTTCACAGCTGCACAGATGCCCTGGATCGGAGCTTCAAAATTTCAAACCGCCCATCGCCTATGATACACAGTCATGTACTTACAGGTAATACACTGTCATGTACTTACAGGTAATACACAGTCATGTACTTACAGGTAATACACAGTCATGTACTTACAGGTAATACACAGTCATGTACTTACAGGTAATACACAGTCATGTACTTACAGGTAATACACAGTCATGTACTTACAGGTAATACACAGTCATGTACTTACAGGTAATACACTGATTCAAGTAGAAGTACAGTGAAAGTACAGTGTAACGTGAGTCCAAGAGCAGAGGACAAATCTGTTCTGTATATCCCATTATATGTCATAGCCAATGTACTTTCTATTGAAGTTAGTTCCACTGTATATCAACAGATGTACATAGAGAGTACGGTTTGACTGATACCTAATTTTGCTCTCTCAGTGACCTTACAGCCCAACGCCAATCATACCCTGCACTCACTATTCGCATTCCCCGCTTCTTTGCCATGGCAATCAGAACCCGTCGGGTATAGAAGAGTGCATGCTCCAGTGGTTCATTCTATACTTGTGTCATAATTATATTTATTCCCGTAGCTATGCAGAAGACGTTACTTCAGTAACGTCTGGCGCTAGCCAGGGTCCACACAGCTTTAATTTGGTATTTGTTTGTTTGTGTGTTTGTTTGTTTGTTTGTTTGTGTCACGCCTGGCGCTATCCCGTATCTGTCCCGTATCTGTCCCGTATCTGTGACTACAAAGGCTCTACAGGATTGTACATAACAGCTGTCCACAATATTTGCGGGCTCCTGTATCTGTCCCGTACCGTACCAATATTCGTCGTATTATGCATACGACTCCCTGATGTAGAGTGGGATTTGGAAAGAAATAGGGAGACGAGGAGGAAATTAAATTAGAATAGACGCCGATTAGGTGATAGGATGCATCAGCATAAACATACTTTGGAAGAGAGATCCCGTCGTCTCCAAAATAAGCGTGAACGAGCGATTCAGTGCCGGTCACAGGAAACGTCGGAAGAGAGATCCCGTCGACTCCAGAACGCCCGTGATCGGTAGAGTCCGGCGGTACCAGGCAACGTCAGGACAGACATCCCGTTGAGTCCAGAACGCCCGTGATCGGCAGAGTCTAAGCCGGTCCCAGGAAACGTCAGGACAGACATCCCGTCGAGTCCAGAACGCCGTGATCGGCAGAGTCAGCGCCGGTCCCAGTAAACGTCAGGACAGACATCCCGTCGACGCCCAGAAAAACTAAATCTGCAGCCTCTTTTGCCGTCGAACAGGATACGTATTTATATAGGAGACTGTAAAGTTATGTAATGTCCAAATTTCGACGTGAGCAGCAGGTCACTCGCGTTGATTTTTTCGACGTGCGAGCCAAATAACGCGAGCTGAACTTTCGCGTCGCAGACATCCCGTCGACGCGCAGAAAAACTAAATCTGCAGCCTCTTTTGCCGTCGGACAGGATACGTATTTTAGGAGACTGTAAAGTTATGTAATGTGCTCCACAGGCAACCATGCATTCGGCGTCGTCATTGGCTCAACAGGTCAATGTAGATGTATTACTACAAAAAGGCCAGAAAATCCGATTCCTGTATTAAAATCAACTAATGTTCGCTGGCGATTTAATTTCGCTGATTTCGCCGCTTGGTACCAACCGGACAAAGTAAATCGCAGGCCAACGTTTGTCATATAGGCAAATGATGCATGATTGAGCAATGGATGCATGTGAGAGCAAAAATACCGATCGATTTCAAATTTGACGTGAAACTGCGCGTCACGTCGGAAATAACGTGCATCTTAACCTCTCTAATCGAGAGGTTTCTATTTCTCATCGGCCAAAATTTGTTGATTTACAATATAAGGAGATAAAAATTAAAGGAGCAAAACAAAAGTAGATGATTATTAGAGAAACAAGAATCCGCAATAAATTCTGCAAATACTTTTCCCTAACTCATAATATTCAAACCGATTGAAATGTTTTTGCAATACAGTGATGTGGCCAATGAACGGAAAAAGACAATTCCATCAGTTCTTATAACATGTACGATGAGCTAGGCAAAAAAGCATAAAAGCATAGCGTAGGGCCCTGAGCTTCCAAGCTCTCTCGTATTACTCCACATAACTATGAAAACCTGTCCTCTGAGAGTGCCTTAGGACTGTTTAACCAGAGCAGCTAACATTGGCAAGATACTTCTCCCCGCCGGCCACTGATCAAGCAATGTTTTAAAAGAGCACACCACAATCAATACTCTTACCAGCTTTCTTCCGGCGACGTCAGAGATAAAGCCAAATGCAAGCGACCCACAGAACAGACCTGCCAGGTATATCTGCAGGAAATTGAGAAACGCAGACTGACACGTCATGCATAGCTCTGTGCTGTTATTTCGCATTGACATTCTTGATGTTGTGCTCCTCGACACAACTGGTAGCTGATTTGTTTTTCCAAAATATCCTCAAACTTTTGTTCTGTCCTATATACATGCATTCATTGTTTCGTCACGTCTTCATGGAGCAGCTTATGTGAAGGCTAGCCAAGCTTGCGTGGCGATGCCAACACGGAAAGGCTTATACTGTCAGACCTCGATTAACCGCACATACGCTACTGGGTCACTGACGGTGTCACGTCAACTTGATTCTACCAATGTCACAGAGGTACGGAAACACTACCTACTTGCGCACCACTCCAAAAATGGCTCCAAGACAGTCGATCGCAGGTTCAATTGTAACCAGACAACTTACCACAGAGACTAAAGTTTGCTCGACTAGAGAGAGATTGAAGTTACAGCCAGCATACATCGGTACAAACGTGAAGAACGTGGTGTCCATTCCATGCACCAGCTGTATTCAACACACAATTCGTAGGAAGAACAGGATGCAACCGGGCCATACCGCATACACATGTACACTCCTATCTCTATTATCCAGACCTCGACACTCCTATCTCTATTATCCGGACCTCGATGTTACAGGCACCTCAGTCTGCCGGGCAACCTGTAGGTAGGCTTTCGTGGAAATATTCCTACTCGTTCGCCATTTTTGTGGAAATAGTGGTGTCATGTGCCAGATATCTGGTCCTTCCCCGTAGACACGTACGTGATTCAGAATTACAGACTTTTGAACGTGATTGGGCAGTGCCTGGGCACTTGGGCAGTGCCTGGGCACTTGGGCAGTGCCTGGTCCTGGACCACTTGGGCAGTGCCTGGTCCTGGACCACTTGGGCAGTGCCTGGTCCTGGACAACTTGGGCAGTGCCTGGTCCTGGACCACTTGGGCAGTGCCTGGTCCTGGACCACTTGGGCAGTGCCTGGTCCTGGACCACTTGGACAGTGCCTGGTCCTGGACCACTTGGGCAGTGCCTGGTCCTGGACCACTTGGACAGTGCCTGGTCCTGGACCACTTGGGCAGTGCCTGGTCCTGGACCACTTGGACAAAGCGAGATAAGTATAAGTGTACACCCTTCGGATGGAGTCAGTGCCGAGGGGGGGGGGGGGTCAGTGCCAAGGGGGGGGTCAGTGCCGAGGGGGGGTCAGTGCCGAGGGCGGGTCAGTGCCGAGGGGGGGGGTCAGTGCCGAGGGGGGGGGGGCAGTGCTGAGGGGGGGGGGGTCAGTGCCGAGGGGGGGGTCAGTGCCGAGGGGGGGGGGGGTCAGTGCCGAGGGGGGGGGGGGGTGTCAGTGCCGAGGGGGGGGGGGGGTGTCAGTGCCGAGGGGGGTCAGTGCCGAGAGGGGGGGGGGGGGGGAGGTATTCACAGTTCTAATACACTCTGACCACTGCCCTAACACCTGCATGCCCGTAATACCATGCATAACACCTGCATGCCGGTAATACAATGCATTATTTTAAATGTACAACTAGTGGCACTCTGACGGCCGATATTTTGCATTACATGTAGTTGATTGGTGACCATACGGTGATAGCTGGCATTTTTTACAGTACATTGCAACCTAAGCTACCTGACCCCTATGGCAGAAGCATTGGGCGCTGAGTAGGAGAGTATCCAGATGAGTAGGAGAGTATCCAGATGAGTAGGAGAGTATCCAGATGATGGGGTCAATGAGACAATCTATGATAATCTACAATGCAAAGCTAACCGTCATCCCTCCATTGGGAACAACTTGAAGAAAGGAATATCATAATGTTTTTTCAGAACTTTGAAGCTCCGCTGTAGCCTTGTCATCTTGTCACTACACCTCCAAGTCGCAACGCACAAAGTCCTTGGCTACGTTGCCACGTACCACAATAACATTATTGTCTTCAACGTTTCACCCAGGGGAGCTTATTCTAGTTGGAGCTGTAGTGAAAAGGATATTGTAATACAGTCAACTTCGCTTATAATGACACTCGGCGCGGCATCAGAAAAGTGTCCTTATTCGCGAAATGTCGTTATATCCGAAGTCTCATTATATGTGTCACAGTTGGATGGGACTTTGCTCCGGGGTTGAAAATTATGTCGTTATTCGCGAATTGTCGTTATATCCGCAGTCGTTATTGGCGAAGTTGACTGTACATGAATTTACTATAAAATGAAGTGTTCAAGAAAAGGACTGACTCACCGCTGTAGCACAGAGGAGGAAGAGCAGCTCATATTGGTGAGCACATACACCGATATATTCGATGACATCCCCAGCCGTATAGTAGCCATCTACAAAGAGAAACAAGCATGAATATTGCCATACAAAAACTTGGGTTCATTGACGCAGTGTTCTCTTCAGTACCACTAGTAGTGTGCATGGCTAGTGGTAGAGTACTTGACCGCACAAAACACCTTGGAGTCATGAAAACTGTGTGACTGCCTGGATAGCACCCAGTGGCCGCGTGACTGCATCACGGCCACCCACCGTGTGCAATTTCGAGTGTGCATTTGCATTGCGTGTGCCATGGCCACGAACACACACCTGGGCGTGCTGCTGGGTTCGCCGGGCGGATTTTCACCATTCACAGCAGTGCGGTCTCTGCAGACCCGGCAAGTCTGTACCGTAATTCCGCGCATATAAGCCCATGGGCTTATAATTATGTGAAATAATGTAGTTTGGGGATAAAATATCCAGTAAAACATGTTCGTTTTTTAGCCCATGGGCCAATATTCGAATTTTGACGGTTCCCGAAAAGTACAAGTCCGTGGCCATATTGGGTGTACCATACTCTACTGGTAAACTGCACTGACCTGCTGTACCATGGTACTGAGGAAGAGTCCATATTGTGAAAAATTCTACTTGAAACGCGAGTTTCATTTGTGTCTGTTTATTAGCCCATGGGCTTATAAACGAAGGTGGGCTTATGGATATAGGCCCGTGGGCTTATATGCGCGGACTTACGGTATACGGCGATGCCACTGAGTGGGCTTTCTGTTGGTTATGCTGTAGCCTCTGCAAAGACAACGCTTACAGTGGAACGCTAATCTCCAGCACAGCGGGACGACACGGGCAACTGCAACGCTAAATCATGTGCCGGGTTTCGACCAAGGGCTGCCTTTTACAGTCACCCCTGGGGCAGGACCGATTTATACACGCTCGAATATATGCACATGCGGCATCACTTGTCCGGGCCATGTTTTATATGCACATGCGGCATCACTTGTCCGGGCCATGTTTGGGTCAGCATGTACAGGTTGTGACTATCATAACGAGTTGCATAAAGCACGGATCACATATAGGACTTCCAAGTCCAGGGTCGAACCGCACGTCGTTCTGGGCACTAGGATCTTGCGGCACCGTCGTCATATATCGTGCTCCCTGACATCCAACTACCTCACCTCCACGGACTATCAGGGAAACCAGGTTAGGACGGTTTGCTCATGCACACAGACAACTACATGTACACAAGACTACCAAACAATAAGAGGGCGGAAAATGTGTAACTCTGAGTTTCACGCACTAAGCGATCATCAGAAAACAGTAACAAGACTACCATGGATATCATGATTGACAACCTGTTGTCTTCCGATCCGCTGCTTAAAGGGGAAGTTAAGGCTAAAATCAAAATTTCACCAGTTGTAGTCTTCGGGGTGCTGGGTCAAATGGCCGTGGTTCGAGGAAGCTGAGACGCTCCCTTCCTACTTTAATCCCAATCGAACTCGCGCACTTCCACCGAAACTGGGTGACTGCGCCCTACTAGATGGGGATTAGTATTCAAAATGTCACTAAAAGCGCCATTTCGTTCTTATAAAAGCACGGATGACCGCAATTGGCCCATATGTTGTAGTCTTTTGGACGCTGAGTCGACTGGTTTCGGTCCGAGAAAGCTGCGGTGCAGCGTTCCTCCTTTATTCCCAATCGAACATGGTTGAACAAGCGGTCACGTGCTCCTGGGTGCCCAAATCACCTGGTCACCGCGCCAGCAGGCGACAACTTTCACACCAAGGTTCAACTCGAGTTACAGGACTGCACCCAAAAAAGGTCAAACAGGCTAGTAAGTTGTACCCTGCAGGCACCGTGACCAGGTGACTGGTGTACGCTCCTTTTTTTTTTTTTAAAGCCATAACCTGATAACCTAGGATTCGAACCCGCACTATCACCCTCCATGCATTCCTCCGATACAATTCGCATACATACTCATTCTTCCAAGTAACAGTTGCTTCACGTTTATATAATGATCTTGCATTTGAAAGCCCTATTTGAATATTGTGGCCAGCTGTCTTTGATGGTACGGTACGGGATAGTGCCAGGCATGCCGACGGCACAAACACACACATACGGAATTAAAGCTGTGTGGACCCAGGCTAGCGCCAGACGTTACTGAAGTAACGTCTTTTGCATAGCTACGGGAATAATACGGTATTCTATTCATGCACTTGGACGCGGCACCACTAGTCACGAACGCGTATATAGCAACTTCCGTGATATAGAGAACCATTGTCCATGTCCCTCAGGCGCGTAGCACAGGTGGGGGGGGGGGGGCTCCTAAATATCTGGACCTACATGTAGCCTTGTAGGTTTTGCATGCACGTACTGGCCATGATGACAAGCACCAGCCATCCTACCTAGCCTACGAGTATGAAAATGCAGCTAGCTAGCGAACTACAGCCATGCCCCCTCCCCCCCTAAGGCTGTGTTTACATGAGAAATTTCAACCCGGGTTGAAAGTCTGTACGATAGACAAAATAGGCGAGCGTTTACATGATTATGAAGACAGTTGACCCGGGTCAAATACTGATATGCCGCCAAAAGTCCACTTCTAGAGTCCTGTATGCCACAGTATGCTGTCCCCGGGGAAAATTGCGGAAAAAATCGCAAAAAAACGCGGGGAAAAAACGCGGCATAATACGGCATAATTTGCCGTGAATTTGCGGTAAATATGCGGTGAATAATATTGATGTGCGGCAATTTTCAGTGAGTATGTAGTGAAATCAATCAGTTACAAGTCTCTGGTGTAAGCACTCGTCATATTTGAGTAAAAAGCCGCCACGATGAGACGTTGCTGACCGAACAGTGCACTGTGTGTATGTGTAGTGCCACAAAAAAGTTCAAAAATCGCGGGAAAATCGCGGAAAACGCGGCCTTTTAAAAAATCGCAAAAAAACGCGGCCGCCGCGGCGGAATCGCAATTTTCCCCGGGGACAGACTATGGTCACCTGAATCCTTTCACGCGAAATTATTTGCATGTACAGTGCTGTTCAAACCTGGCGTGAGACACACACAGAAGTACAACTTCTTCGACCCGGGTCAAGCGCAATGCGTCATCACGCCATTCATTTTGTGTACATGGCGGGTTGAACGCCCCATGCAAACACAGCCTAAAAAGTAATGGGGGCTCAGCAACGCCTCTGTCCCTGGTTGTACCCATACAAAATGAACCGTATCGTGTAGCAGGGTTCTAGCCAGGTCAAAATAGTAGGGGGGGGGGGGGGGGCAGGGAAAACAGTTACCCCATAACCAATTTATTTTCCTTTTCAAGTGTAACTGTCTTGCAATGCGAAATGCAACGTACGGTGCGAACACCTGACATCACCCCAGACAAAATTTAATGTGCCTTTATGAACCCTTTATTACTGACTATCGACTGCATTTTTGTTGAATGGCATGAAAAAACACAAACATCGCAAAATGAGTAGGTGGGGGGGGGGGCACTTTTTCACAGGGGAGATGCCTTGGGCCGTATCATTGGTAAACCAAAAAGTTCAAAAAAAAGACAGTAAGTTAGTTTGGACATGAACAATACCACGTGTACATATACATGAAAAAACAGGATTAGTTCATATATATATGATCATGTCGATCAATTCGTAGTTGGCGAAGAGGCAGCAATAATACACGAACACACAGACACACGACCAGTGCATGCAGCTGCGCAGTCACATGTATTGTACTATTCATGATACTAGTACAAAAGTTTTCTAGTACTCATTATTTATAATACCACACATGCACAGCACACTGTTACTACCTACGGCTAAATCGATGGAGACCTTTGAATAATAGTCTGCAACCCAACTCGAGACATTTAGAAATTGACACGGACACAGATGCGGGACTCACTAAGGGAGCAAGGCCGAAGGAGCTGCATGCTGAGGCTGCGTGGCCTACGCCTATGGCCTAGGCAAGACAGCACCAAGAGTAGAGGTGAAGATGGCTCCGCATCGCCAGCTATATCTCCTATTTCCTTTCACATGGTTCCGTCAAGTGTTCCGCTAACCTGGGGAGAATTATTCCTCTTCCTTGATCATTTGTTGAATTCGAGGAATGTCTTGAGCGAGATTCTCGAACTGCTCCACACTCAAAGATATTCCTTTCTTAGTCGGCACGAAATCATCCTTTTCTTCCATAGTGAATTTCCTGATGTCGATGTACACTTGGTTGTTTTGGTCGAATTTCGATACTTTCACCTTCAGGCACTGATCTACGCCACGATGAAGCTCCATAATGGAGACACAGCGTAGCTGGATTCCAGCAGGGCGCAGAGCGCGAGCACACCTCAGAGCAAGACTCATGGTTGTTTTCAGAAAGCTTGAGAGGAAATAATAAAACAACAGAGCTAGAGAACTGCTTTTAGTACTGTAAGTCTTGCTTTGTGTGAAGAGAAAACACGAGAGTACGAGTGGCGCTATCGCCGGCGGCATGCATGGCCTGCCTGACTTTCCCGCCAAAAACATGATCACGTGGTCATACTAGTATCGCAACATAATCATTCCGCATTCATAACTAATAAGTAATATTACTTTTTTGTGCCCAAGCGGGCTTGAAAGTGCTACGTCACAGCATAGCAACAATTTCAAAAATTCAAAAATTGGATCCACTTGGATCCAGTTTTTATTATTATTATTATTATTATTATTATTATTATTATCAAATTTTTGATAGGGCAATCCCCACAGGCCTAAGGCCTTCTTACAGTTTTTGTATGGATCCAAGCACATTTCAAGCCGTCTTACTCTCAGCATGCAAGGTGATGTAACCAGTGAAACTGACTGATTTGGCTACTGGGGGCGGGGTTACAACTGGTGGCGAAATAAAAGTCACACCTGCATGCGACATGAGTGGGTTGCTATGCACCCACATACTTAGGCAATAGCAAAGTCACACCTTAGTGGATCCAAAAATAGAAATCTGACGTCAACTTACTACTCCCTGGCCGTTTTGACGTCATCACTTTCAAGCCCTATTGCAAACCGGGCTGCGTTCGTTTTTAGCTATGTACTCATAATGT